TACACTATGTTACACCATCTACTGTAGCTAATAGTATAGAAGGTTTTAACTTCGTAAAAGCTTTCCAAAACGTACCATATTAGAAACTTGATAGTTCTTCCATTGGCGTTTGAAAATGGATGGACGGCAAGGAAAGCTAGGACAAATTCGGCAAGCGCCTCTAAAACCTGGCAGCAATAAATGGTTTTATAATTAAAACAATCCACTATAATTTGCATTCTAGACTGAATATCCTTTGGATCGCAGTACCATACTTCCTGACCCTGGTAAGTGGTCATTCTCTGGTTTGTGCAATAAGCACAGATTTTATCGTTTTGGAGCAGTTTATTATTGATACTGATGATTATTTCATGTTCCAAAAGGCCTTTGTCAGGATAATTCAAAAGTTCCTCGACATATTTCCTCGCCTCTATTGCTCCTTGCATTGAGGACTGGTCAAAGTGCTCTTCGCTATTCAAAATCTCTCTTTCTATTGTTAGCATGTTATCCGGCAATGCAAGCCTTCAATCAAAACCACTAAAATTACGACTGTAGGGATGGAATCTTTCGTTTACGCTTTGTTTTCGGACTTCTTCTTTTGTGAACAATTTGTTCAACAAAAACTTTCTTTGATGAATGGCTGATTGGGTTGCTTCTTCCCAGTCATAGCTCTCCGTATCCATAAGGTTTTTCTGTTTTTCTATTATCTTTTTATAAATAGGATCTCTTTTGAATAGATGCATCCACTTTAGCTCGTCAAACAGAACCTCTCTCAGCGCTTTTCTATATGAGGGAAGCAAAGCATTATTTGCTCTGATTTCTGCTGCGGTATCGGTATCGCCATTTTGTTTGTATTTCTGAACCAGTACTTCATATTCTTGCTGATATCTATCCATAGCTTGGTGTTGAATTCTTGCCCAGACATCGATATCCTCCTGCTCTTCACTTGAATCAACATCACTTGAATCACTACTCTCTTCGCTGCTTTCTTCCGAGGTATCGGTATGGATACTTTCAGAACTCAAATCTTCCTCCTCGCTGTGGTTAGACTGAGACATGGTGCTCCTATCGCTTTGAAGTTAAGCTCTTAAATGATAAACTTGACACAAACCCCTCTCTTTTATAGTTTTAAAGATCTGATATAAGTCTCAATGCTCAATATATCGCTMTCTTTCGAAGTCCAAGTGATAGAAAACAAATTGGGATCGTTGCAGAAAGAATGTTTGATAAACAAAGAAATCGATTCATGGAAGCCTTTTACAGGGAAACGCAAAAGCCTTTCGGTTATTTGCTCGTGGATAATAAGCCAGATACACCTGTAGACAAACAGGTTGTTGGAGACATTTTCGGACAATGTCATGTATTCTCGTCTATCAACAAGGCTAATGAAGAGAGTGAAAGAGCCAAATCATCAGCTGATGTTAGTCAGTCACGGGCCCCTTCAATTTTCTAGTCCGATGCTATCATACCTGTATGGCAAAATTACACGAATGATTTCAAATATGTCAAGTCGATACCYCAAGGTTTTACCATAGTAGAGATGTATAAAACCTCCCGCAATCCACATCAMCCAAATCAGCCGGGCGTTAGCTTAGGAGGTGAACTTTACTGGCCCGTTAAAATAAGAAACCTGTGCAATGGGAGTTTTAAATGGGTGAACCTCCATGAAGATGATCCAATTGTTAAAATAATCGTCCAAGAAGCTCTTGCGGGCGAGATGATCCCTTAACTATATCATTTATCAAATGAAATAAGTTTAGATAATGATATTGATGCATCACAAATGTCTTTTTTCAACATCTCTGTCCGGGATTATAATGGAGCATCTCGGGGGCTTTCCGAGGGCGCCTCAGATCATTCCGGAGCTTCCTAGATCCTTTCGTCTACATAATCAAGGTTTATGAAGAATCTTTTCTCGGGCTTGCTGTCCCTTTGTGAGGGACAGGAAGCCCGACAAAAGGGGAGGCAGCGAATCATATTGTTGTTTCATAATTTAAAAAGATATTATT